CTTTTGGCACACAGCACTGGGGTTTGCACTGGGCTCAGTGTTCCACCCAGGCACAGCTGCTTCTTTTGCAAATGACACTCTCAAAATGGCAGTGTTGCTCACTAGCGCCACTCTCAAAATGGCAGTGTTGCTCACTAGCGCCTCTCCTGGAAGGTCCGACATTGGCTGTATATTGGTAGTATTGGGCTATCCTGGGCATGCCCCTCCAGAACCAACCGCCGGGGAGGGGGGGGGGGTGGTGCTCCCTAAGGGACCAGTAGGAGACTTCTACAGGTCAAGTTTGGACTTTACTTGCTCCTCATTCGTTTGTAGCTGGGTGGAATGACCTGTGGCTGGAGAAGGATAGAAGTTCAGGCTGGAAGATGGATAACATTGGGTTGGGAGGGACTTGGTTTGAGGAGTGCTTCTTCTATCTACCCTCATCTTCAGACTCACCATGGCTGCCTCCCAGCTCTGCAGACTCCATTCTAACTTCACCCACATCTTCCAAAACAGGATTTCCCTAAACTGAACTAAGTTTGTGATCTCCTGCTGTGGGAGGAAAAATGCTATTCCTATTCAAGGTACAAGAACATTTTTTAAAGATTTATGTATTTATTTGAAAGGCAGAGTGACAGAGGGAGAGGGATAGACAGTGAGAGAGCGAGAGTGAGAGTGAGAGCGAGCCAGAGAGAGAGGATGTGATCTTAAATCTACTGGTTTACTTCCCAAATGGCTGTAGCAGCTAAGGCTGGACCAGGCAAAAGTCAGGGGCCTGAAACTCCAGCCAGATCTCCCATGTGGGTGGCAGAGACCAAACCATTTGGGACATCTTCCACTGCTTTCCCAGGTGCCTTAGCAAGGAGCTGGATCAGAAGTGGAGCAGCCAGCTTTTGAATCAAAGATTATATGGGATGCTGGCATCACAGGAAGTAGTTTAATCTGCTGTTCCACAATACCATTCCCAGGAACATTTTTATTAAAAATAATAAGAAGAAGGATGAGGAAGGGAAGGAGGAAGAGGAAGAAGAGGATGGGGAGGGGGAGAAGGTGAGGAAGAGGATGAGGAAGAAGAATTCTTTACATCAGAGGCTACAGGTAAGGAACTGATTGAAGGACTTGAAATTATAATCAAAAAGTTATATTTACATTCTGCTTCTTACTTAGCTCATAGGACAAACACCAGGGGGAAACTGCATTTCTATCCATGTAGTGAAAATATCACAAGTTTAACAAGTGTTGAGGTGTACAATCCTGAATGTTCAGGATCTAAGATGCTTCACGGAAATACACAGGTTATGACTTTGCAATGAAGGTATAACCACTTTTTTTTTTGACAGGTAGAGTTATAGACAGTGAGAGAGAGAGACAGAGAGAAAGGTCCTTCTTCCATTGGTTCACTCCCCAAATGGCTGCTATGGCTAGCACTGCGCAGACCCGAAGCCAAGAGCCAGGTGCTTTTTCCTGGTCTCCCATGCAGGGACAGGGGCCCAAGGACTTAGCCCATCCTGCACTGCCCTCCTGGGTCACAGCAGAGAGCTGGACTGGAAGAGGAGCAACCAGGACTAGAACTCGGTGCCCATATGGGATGCCGGGGCCGCAGGCAGAGGATTAACCAAGTGAGCCACGGCACCGGCCCCAGTATAACCATTCTTGACAGAACAAGAACCTGCAGTGTGCAGACACTGAATATGAGAGATCCACAAAAACGTGCTTGGGGTTGGCGCTGTGGCATAGTAGGCTAGACCTCCGCTGGCAGGGCTGGCATCCCACATGAGCACCGGTTCGTATCCCAGCTGCTCCTCTTCCAACCCAGCTCTCTGGTCATGGCCTAGGAAAGCAGTGGAAGATGGCTCAAGTGCTTGGGCCCCTGTACCCACCCAGAAGAAGCTCCTGGCTCCTGGCTTCCGATCGGCCCATCTCTGGCCATTGAAGCCATTTGGGGAGTGAACCAGCAGATGGAAGACCTTTTCTCTCTGTCTCTCCCTCTCTCTCTCTCTGTAAATCTACCTCTCAAATAAATAAATAAAATATTTTTAAAAATTTATTTATTTATTTGAAAGGCAGAGTTACAGAGAGGCAGAGGTAGAGGGAGAGAATGAGTTCTTCCATCCATCAGTTCACTCTCCAGATGGCCACAACAGCTGGAGCTGGGTAGAAGGAGACTGTGTGTGTGTGTGTGTGTGTGTGTGTGTGTCAGGGGGTGATATGCGTACATATACGTGTGTTTGTGTGGCTAGATTCTTAGCATGGTAAACCAAATGCAGTGTTGTGTCTAAACTCAAAACACTAAAAGCACATTCCCTGGACATCAGGAGCAACACAACCATCACTCCCATTTCTTAGCAGTGTATTTGTGCACTTACTCAGAGACAAAGGAAGGAAGGAAGGAAGGAAGGAAGGAAGGAAGGAAGGAAGGAAGGAAGGAAGGAAGGAAGGAAGAGAGAGAGAGAGAGAGAGAAGGGAGGGAAGAGGGGGGAGGATTAAAAAGGAGAAAAGGAGGTGGGTTTCTGAGCCCTGAAAGTCGGGAACTTCTTCGCACCCAGGAGGCTGCACCTGGCGGTTCTAAGGCCGTCACCATGCCACAAAATGAATATATTGAATTACACCGTAAACGCTATGGGTACCGTTTGGATTACCATGAGAAAAAGAGAAAAAAGGAAAGTCGGGAGGCTCATGAACGTTCAAAGAAAGCAAAAAAGATGATTGGTCTGAAGGCCAAGCTCTACCATAAGCAGCGCCATGCTGAGAAAATACAGATGAAAAAGACTATCAAGATGCATGAGAAGAGAAACACGAAACAAAAGAATGATGAAAAGACTCCCAAGGGAGCAGTGCCTGCCTATCTGCTAGACAGAGAAGGACAGTCCCGAGCTAAAGTACTTTCCAACATGATTAAACAAAAACGAAAAGAGAAGGTGGGAAAATGGGAAGTCCCTCTGCCTAAAGTTCGTGCCCAGGGAGAAACAGAAGTATTAAAAGTTATTCGGACAGGGAAAAGAAAAAAGAAGGCATGGAAGAGGATGGTTACCAAAGTCTGCTTTGTTGGAGACGGCTTTACAAGAAAACCACCTAAATATGAAAGATTCATTAGACCTTTAAGAAGGCCCATGTAACACATCCAGAACTGAAAGCCACCTTCTGTCTGCCAATACTTGGTGTAAAAAAGAATCCATCATCCCCATTATACACAACTCTGGGTGTAATTACTAAAGGTACTGTCATTGAGGTGAATGTGAGCGAGCTGGGCCTTGTGACGCAAGGAGGCAAGGTTATTTGGGGGAAATATGCCCAGGTTACCAACAATCCTGAAAATGATGGATGCATAAATGCAGTCTTACTTGTTTGATAACAGTAACTCCTAATCATTATTGAAGACTACAAACTAAGTGGGAAAACTGTCTTTACTATGATTTTTCTGAATACTTCCAAATAGCCTTCATGTCTGCAGTCAGCAAGAGAATTATTTTAAGGTGTAAAAAACATTAAAAAGATGCACTTTAAAAAAAAAAAAAGGAGAAAAGGAGAAGTGAGGGGCCAGCATTGTGGGGCAGTAGGTTAAGCCACCGCCTGTGACACCGATATCACAAATGGGCACTGGTTTGAGTCCTAGATGCTCCACTTCCAGTCCAGCTCCCTGCTAATGCACCTGGGAAAGCAACAGAAGATGGCCTGAGTGCTTAGGCCCCTGCCACCCACGTGGGAGACCCAGATCAAGCTCCTGCTCCTGGCTTCAGCCTGGCCCAGTGCCGCCATAGTGGCCATCCAGGGAGTAACTCAGAAGATGGAAGATTTCTCTCTTTCAAAATAAATAAATTTTGGCCGGCGCCACGGCTCACTAGGCTAATCCTCTGCCTTGCGGCGCCGGCACACAGGGTTCTAGTCCCGGTCGGGGCGCCGGATTCTGTCCCAGTTGCCCCTCTTCCAGGCCAGCTCTCTGCTGTGGCCAGGGAGTGCAGTGGAGGATGGCCCAAGTGCTTGGGCCCTGCACCCCATGGGAGACCAGGAGAAGCACCTGGCTCCTGCCATCGGATCAGCGCGGTGCGCCGGCTGCAGCGTGCCGGCCGCGGCGGCCATTGGAGGGTGAACCAATGGCAAAGGAAGACCTTTCTCTCTGTCTCTCTCTCTCACTGTCCACTCTGCCTGTCAAAAAAATAAATAAATAAATAAATAAATTTTTAAAAAAAGGAGGAGGAGAAGGAAGAAAAGGGAGAGAAGGAAGGAGGGGGGAAGGAAGGGAGACAATTAAGAGTTTACTTTGGATTAGGGGACTGTGAAGGATCAGTTAGTAAATGTTTCATGTTTCCGGCTGTCCCCTGTGCCCTGTCACAGCCAGCAGGTAAGCAATGAACATGGCCACACTCTACCCACTATAGTCATCTCTTTCTGGACCCTAGAATTTGACCTGCATGTGGTTTTCACGTATTATAAAATCCAATTCTTCTTATGACCCGTCCCCAGCCATTTAATAATGATAAAAATGTTAAACTCATTCTTAGTTTCTAGTCTGTGCAAAACCAAATGGATTAGATTTGGTGACCCATGCCCTAGACCATTTTAGCAGTGATTATATTAGTTAATTTAATTAGCTATTAAATAGCTTCTATTATAGACAAACTTATCTAATTGCCTGTCTTCTGGGTTTTATTATTATTCTTTTTGGCATTGTAGGGTAAAGGTTTTATAGAAAGATCGGGAATAATAATCCAGTTACAAAAGTGTTGAATTTTAAAACAGTATTTTCATTTTTTATTTCCCTCTCTGTCTCTGGTTTGCTCTTTCTCTTTAAAAAAAAAAAAAAAAAAAGGAGTGGTTGCTAATCTCTTCAGTTGTTAATTATATTCCTGTAAACAGAGTAACCCCTAGGAATTTCTCTCTGCTTTTCATCTAATCTGCAGGCCTCAGGATCTCTCAAGAACAATGGGGCACACACAGGGACCACATTCATTCCCTGTTCTTTTCTTCCTTTTTTCCCCTCTCGGTGTTGAACTCCAGCCAAACATTAAATTAGCCTGGGACGCTCAGTCTTGATTTAGAGAAACAGAAGAGCCTTTTCAGTGTGAGAAGCATGCGACTTGGTAGGACAGAGTTTTTCGGACAAGCCTATTTGTGCAAGTCTGCAGGTGACTATGGGATTGTACCTAGGCAGGTGGGGTTGTAGGTCAGTCAGGTGCGTATGTGTGCAGGTGTCTATAAATCCACACCCGTTTTTAACCAGAAACATCCAGAAAACATTTCTGACAGGAGCACGGGCCAGGACAGGTAAGCAAGCAACGTCTCCAGATTATATAATCAGTGCTCAACCTCCGCTATGTTTAAATGATCAACTTTTGCTGTTTAAAAATGAGGCTTTCAGGAAAGGGTGGGGAAAGTGAAATGGAACTGTGTTTTTCTTCTCTTACTGGGCTGAATTTCCTTTGCTGGCCTCACAGTTTTATTCTCTATTTATACGGATGTTAGAATATAAACTGGCATCAACCAAAAATGACTCTTTAAAAATTAGTCTATAGGGAACACTGGTTCTTCCCACTATCCTTTGTGTGTATGTGTGTGTGTGTGTGTGTGTTTTAAATATAGAGATTTTTAATACAATATTTAAGTAAGTGGCTTATGTTGAATTATTTTGAAATGCAAAATGCTATTCTAAGAAAATGCTAACTGGACAATGTTTATAAAGGCAAATTGTGCTGTAACCTGCTGTGGCATCATGACCAAGTCTCCTTCATCCCTGTACCCCCTTCAAAGAAGCTTGCCTTTGCAATGGGGACTAAAGCACCCTCAGTCACCCACATTCCACTTCACCAAGGAAAGCACTGTTCATTCAAAACCAACAATGGACAAGTTGTAGCGCTTTGTTGTAGTCTATTCTAATTTACCAACCATGTAAAACAGAAAACTAAGATTTTGAGTTAAGCAGAAAGTCTTTGGTAATACATAAATACTTGACATTTGAAAGAAAAAAAAAAAGTTTCCCATTCACCTCTAAATTTGGCAGCTTTAAAATGGCAAGAGAGGGAGTTACACTTTCTAATGTAGATTCCACCTGCTTATCTCCACCTCTAACGTGGAAAACATTGCCAGTATTTCCCGCAGTTGGATGTTCCCTGAGTCTTCTTTACGTATAAGAAACTTAAGGCAATTTGGGATCATTTTCCCTAGGAAAATGAACAGAGGCACACACACCCATACATACAGTTTCAGGGAGTTTTGAGCTTCCTGTAGCCATCCACAGACCTTCTAGAAGCTCACTGGATCCAGGTGAACAGGCTGTCCCAGGGGGTCCCTTCATTCTGTCCACTGCCACTTACACCTTGTCCAAGGTCCCTGCCCAGGCTAGGCTCTGTGTTCAGACTCAGCTGTCTCTCAGCCCTACTGGAATCCACCCTTGCTTGGATTCAATCTTTAAGGTACAAGATGACCAGCCCTCGGGGTACAGGAAGATATTCTGCAATGTTTTATGGTTTAACAAGTTATAGCAACTTGAATTGAGATCTTTATCTGGCACCATGGTTACTGTTTAACAGAATTGTTTAGTGCGCAAAGACAAGAAAGTAGAACAAAAGGAGTTAGTTGTAGATTCTGGAGGCAAATCATTTAAATTCAGCAAACCTGGAGTGACAACCCTTTCAGTCCAGAGCTGGGCTGGAAGAGACACCCCTCTGAGAAGAGGCACACACTGGCACCAGAGGAATGCGGAACTGTCTGGAAAAACCCATCCTCTGTAAACCTCACCACCACCACACTGCTGCTCTCCATGACTACAGTTGTTGTTTACCTGACTACACTATGGCAAGTGCCACTTGTTTTGCCAATGCCAAAGCACTGGGCCTGCTTAGAGTTTCAGTTTTGTACAGTGACTAACACAGCTCACTGCAGAAACTTCTATGTATGACCAATCACTGAAGAGTCATTCACTGTACTTCAGCCAGGAAATTGCACTATTTTAGTGAGAAGTTCACCACTGAATAACATAAATCATCAGGGGGGAAAAAAACTGTAAAGGAACTTTAAATAAACCTGAAGGACAACTGTCCATCATTTATTTCCTACTTTGAGATGAAGTTTCAGAATTGCATGTGGGATTTATATGCTAAGAATACTGTAACTAAACAACATCTCACAAGTATGGAACATACTTTGTAATGCATTTACCAAGTGGTTCAAGACCAACTCAGGCCACACTCTGGACTTTTGATTAAATATTACCATGCAAAGTATAAAAAAGAAAAGCACACTAACTTTAGAATCAATTGTAATGTTAGCTAACAAAAAATATGAACTCCACTCTATTCTATATACATATGTTTAAGTCACAGCAATATGCCAATGTTTGATTTTTGGAAAAGAGGTGAAGGGCAGAGGGGCTGAGTGACCATTGGAGTGACTGACCATAAAGGAATTGAAGGACAAGGACTCTTCGTGGTCTAACTTTCCCCTGATTCCTGTTTCAAGCAGTATTTGTTCATGCTTAGCCTCAGTATGATACAGAGTTAAAATGTTGTTTTAATCACTGGGTCTAGAAGAATCAAGAGACAAAGGCTATCCCTGGCTGGTAGACCTCACTTTTGTATCGCTCTTTACAATTCCAAGGCCATTAACAAACACCATCTTGTTCGCATTTCTCTGTGGGGCTGTGCAGTTCGGCAGCAGGTTTCATGTGCCTGTGTTACCAGTGAATGGCAGGGTTCTTGTCTTCGCACAAGAAAGAATTCAGGCATGAGACAGAGTGGTAGAAAGTAAAATAGCAAGGTTTATTAGGGTAGGGATATCCGTAAAAACAGATGGGCACCTCTCCAGACAGAACCTGAGAGTGCCCAGTCACTCAAACTGGGGGAGAGCGAGATTCCATGGTTGAGTGGAGAAGACACCTGACCAGGCCAGGTGGGCGGCTCAGCAGAGAGGCAGAGGGCTGAGCGCGCAGTCCAGTTGAGGCCAGGGGTTTTTAAGGAGATGGGTCTTTGTCTTCTCACATCTCCTCCTGAAACAAAAGACTTTATGGGTGTAAATACTAGAAACTCCTATCTGAGTTTTCTCCCAGAAGTTATCAGACAGGAGGAAGCCTAGCTGGCGCCACCCTGGGTTTAGAGGAAGGGTGAGCAAGACCCCCTGAGGATCGGAGCAGGGTATTTGAAATGCAGATACTGGGCTGCATCTGGAAGATTATCAGGCAGAAGGGGTGGGGACCCCCACCTGGCAGGTTATTGGGTAGAAGGAGCAGGGCAGGATGCAAACACGGGGCTGCCCCTGAAACGTTATTGGGATGACTTTGTGATGCAGATGTTGAACCCAAATTCTCCTTAGGCCTTTGTCACACACACAAGCTCATATCTGACTTCCTACCTAACACCTGGATCCAGTTCTCTCTTAGTTGCCTCGCCCTATGTGCAGGATGCCCAGAATGTGATTTTTCACCAAGTGGGCATTCACAGAGTTGATTCCATTTCTAAGATATTTATTAAGAATAAAACCTGGGGCTGGTGCCATGGCTCACTAGGCTAATCCTCCACCTGCAGTGTCAGTATCCTGGGTTCTAATCCCAGTTGGGGCACCGGTTCTGTCCCAGTTGCTCCTCTTCCTGTCCAGCTCTCTGCTGTGGCCCGGGAGTGCAGTGGAGGATGGCCCAGGTGCTTGGGTCCTGCACCTGCATGGGAGACCAGGAGGAAGCACCTGGCTCCTGGCTTTGGATCCGCGCAGCACGCCGGCCATGACAGCCATTTGTGGGGTGAACCAATGAAAGGAAGACCTTTCTCTCTGTCTCTCTCTTGCACTGTCTACTCTGCCTGTCAAAAAAAGAAAAAGAAAAGAAAAGAAAAAGAAAGAAAGAGAGAAAGAAAGAAAAAAGAATAAAACCTGGATGAAAGGGTGGGTAGACTGAGTCAGATTAAGGAAGCAGAATGATTCATCCACACAGACTGGGACCAAAGTAAATGTCTTTTAACATGGCCTGAAGTAACCCAGTAAGGTCCTGAATGTTATCTTCTGTCCTCCAGCTTCTCCCGAGGAACGTTCTAGAAGGCGCCATGTTACACTATGCTTTGGCTCTCTGCCTCCTCCTTATCACCGTCTCTTCTAACCTTGCTATTGCCATCAAAAAGGGAAAGAGGCCTCCTCAGACACTCTCAAGAGGTATGGTATTCTTTATGTCATTTCCTAAACTCAATCATTTGCATTGTTTGAAAAATACTTGATATCTTCACCCATACTCTAGTTATGAAGCAAATTCAATTAACTGGAAGATTTCTATTATGTGGCTCCAAAGGTGATTTTTAAAGACAAACAGGAAGGATCCATTGAGTTTTGACAGTGAGTTAACCCACTGGGAAAAAATAGCAACAATTTCCTGGGCCAGGTATTTGGCCTAGAAATTAAAATGCCTATATCCCACAATGGAATGCCTGGGTTCAAAACCCACCTCTTGTTCTCCTCTCCAGCTTTCTGCTAACATGTGCCCTGGGAGAAGGCCATGATGGCTGAAGTAATTCAGTCACTGCCACTAACGTGGGAGACCTGGAATAAGTTCCCAGCTCCTGGTTTTCGCTTGGCTCAGGCCCAGCTGTTGCAGACATTTGGGTAGGGAATCAACAGATGGGAGCTCTGTTCCTGTCTCTGTCTCTCAAAAAAAATCTAAAATTTAAAAAAAAAAGATACATGTCGTATCTTTTAGCAAAAGTAGTGGAGAACTAAATTGCTCTCTACAACTATGATAACCAGAGTCGTAGAGAATGATTAATATGATTGATATTAATATGATTGATATATTATGATATTATCATCATAATATCTTAAAAATACCTAAATTCTTCAAAATGTACTCAAATTCCAAGTCCTGCTTATTAAGAAAATAATTTGGACTGATTTTATACAAAGTTACCCAAAAAATTAAACTTTATCCAAATTCCTGAGAATTTAGGCCAGTCTTGCTATATTGATTCCCAAAGACACATGCCCCAGTTTTGGGTGTCATAAGCTGGATTTATCATTGGCTTTGGGATTAGAAAACATTTTTCTTTCTGTGATGTTTTTCTTGGCTTAAGAAACAAACATAACTTCAGGTATAAATAGACATTTTTATAAGGGAAAAATTCCCAAAACTGGTTTCTACAATTTCCTGGTAAGTTAGAACCATCTATCCTCACTCGGGGAATTCAAAATCAGCAGTTCAACTACAAGAGCACTTGAGCACTGTTTGGAAAGATCACATGAATGGAGCGAGGAAATGAAGACCTCCTGTGGTATGATTTCAAATTCTAAAACATTTATTTGCTTATCAAGTCCACTCATTTCTTAACAGATGTACTGGGTGCCAGCCAAATGCCTACTGGGGTTTACCTGATAACTCATTCTACTTCAGTTTAGCAATCACAGCAACTATATACTAGAAACTCAGTAACTTTTTGCCAAAGAAATCAATTGAAAGGGAGAAATGTAATTTATTATATGTCTCTCTATATAGACATAAAGATAATAGAACAGAGAGGTCAAGTAATATTTTTTAAAAGATTTATTTATTTATTTGAAAGTCAGTGTTACACAGAGAGAGAAAGAGAGAGAGAGGAGGTGTCTTCCATCCACTGGCCCACTCCCCAGTTGGCCACAACAGCCAGAGCTGTGTGGATCTGAAGCTAGGAGCCAGGAACCTCCCCCAGGTTTCCCAAAGTGGTACAGGGGCCCAAAGACTTGGGCCATCCTCTACCCCTTTCCCAGGCCATAGCAGAGAGCTGGATCGGACGTGGAGCAGCCAGGACTCAAACCAGCAGCCATATGGGATGCCAGCACTGCAGACTGGGGCTTTAACCCACTGCGCCACAGCACCAGCCTGGTCGAGTAACACTTTAGTGGCAAAGACTAAACCAGGTATTGACTCTGATGAGCTTCCAGGACTGAGAGAAGCCATGTTGCTACACCTGCACCTACCATAAGACGTCAACATGCTCTGTGCTCACTTTTAAATGTCGGCTTAAAATTTTTGGTGAATGCTATGAAAAATGTATTAAACAGAAACAGCATATGCTATACAACTTAATGGATCTCCTATTACAACTATTAATGAACTATTTTGATAGCAAGGATATGATAATAACTGAGAACCCCATTATTAAAACTTGGCTTGGGCCGGCACTGCAGCTCACTAGGCTAATTCTCTACCTTGTGGCGCCGGCACACCGGGTTCTAGTCCTGGTCGGGGCGCCGGATTCTGTCCCGGTTGCCCCTCTTCCAGGCCAGCTCTCTGCTGTGCCCAGGGAGTACAGTGGAGGATGGCCCAAGTACTTGGGCCCTGCACCCCATGGGAGACCAGGATAAGTACCTGGCTCCTGCCATTGGATCAGCGCAGCGGCTGCGGCGGCCATTGGAGGGTGAACCAATGGCAAAGGAAGACCTCTCTCTCTGTCTCTCTCTCACACTGTCCACTCTGCCTGTCAAAAAAAAAAAAAAAGGCTTGTATGTAGTTTTGCTTGTTGCCATCTATTGCCATTTAGGAAACCAAGAGAAAAGGCTCAGAATGAATGAGGGTTAAAGGGGGGAAGAGGGAAGGATGTGGGTACAGGATGCGAAGTAGCACTTGGAGCCCCTGAAAGCAGAGGGCAGCAGTAAGCAGCTAAATAAACAGACAGTAAGGCGAAAAACAAGAGAATTAATTGGATCAAGGCAATAGATGGTTCAAGAAACAAAAGCACAGGTACATACAATGACTCAAAAAATGTCTTACTTCTTTTGAATCAAGACAGCCGCCCAGCACCCAGTGCATTGCCTGACATACTCAATAACACGTATTACAGGAGTGAATGAAACCTCAGAAGGCAAAGAAAGCAAAGACAGTTTACAGGTGGGATTAAAAGCAATGAACAGAGATCCCGAGAGGACCTCAACTTCTGAGTGCCCTTTGCCCTATTATGACTACGAGACAGAACATATCAAAACAAGTAGACTAGAACACAGCTGCTGATGGGGCTGTGAGTGATTCTTTGAGGGTTGGATTATATTACTTCACGTTTGTATTCGCAGTGCCCAGTAAAGTAAGCAGACACTCTTTGATGTTTGTGGACCCATGTTGAATAGGAATACACAATGTAAGTTCTGCCCATTGCTGACACTCCAGCATTGAGTGATGTTTGCAGCAACAGAAGAGGGAAAATTAAGCAGGGGCATAATCACACCTGCTGTTCTAGAACAGCGTTCCTTTGATGTGTAATGAATGTGGGAAGCAGAGTTGGAAGAGAATCAAGATTAGGACAGAGATGAAGTTTCTGCTAAGATGAGGTGTTAGATGAACATGAACATGAAAGAGCCTTCCAATGTTAAGAGTTTCAAAGCAGGCAAAAACAAACCGGCAACATTGCTGGTGTGAATGTGGAATGATGCAGCCACCTTGGGAAAAACAGTCTGGCAGTTCAATTCAGCAGTTTTGCTCCTGTGTGTATACCCACACCAAAGCTTGCACACTTAGGATCACAGCAGCATTACGCATTAAAAAAAGCCAAAAAATGGAAACAACCCAAAGGCCCATCAACTGATGAAAGGATTAGTAAAACGGGGTATAGCAATATAATGCAATGATATTTAATCATCAAAAAGGAATTAAATACTAATGCATGCCACAACATGGATGAATCTTAAGAACGTTATGCTAATTGAAATAATCCAGTGACAAAATATCACATAGCAAATGATTCCATGTATACAAACTGTGCACAGTTAGCAAATCGATGGTATATAGGATCGAGGAAGAAGAAGAGATCTGGGATTGGGGGGCATGATAGCTAAAGGCCACAGGGGTTTTCTTAGGTAATGAAAATGTCCAAAAATGATTGCAGCACAACTTTTTTTTAAGAAATCTTTTATTTAATGAATAAATTTTGAAAGTACAACTTTTGGATTGTAGCGGTTTTCCCCCCATAACCACCCTCCCACCTGCAAACCATCCCATCTCCTACTCCCTCTCCCATCCCATTCTTCATGGATAATCTTCCACCTGCGGTGCCAGCACCCCGGGTTCTAGTCCCGGTTGGGGCGCGGATTCTGTCCCAGTTACTCCTCTTCCAGTCCAGCTCTCTTCTGTGGCCCGGGAAGGCAGTGGAGGATGGCCCAAGTGCTTAGGCCCTGCACCCACATGGGAGACCAGGAGGAAGCACCTGGCTCCTCTCTTCAGATCGGCGCAGCGTGCCGGCCATAGCAGTCATTTGTGGGGTGAACCAACGGAAAAAGGAAGACCTTTCTCTCTCTCTCTCTCTCACTAACTCTGCCTGTCAAAAAAACAAAAAAGATTCATTTTTAATTTTCTTTACATACAAAAGATTAACTTTGTATATACTAAATAAAGATTTCAACAGATTGCACCCACACAGACACACAAAGTATAAAGTACTGTTTGAAGACTAGTTTTACCATTAATTCTCATACTACAACTCATTAAGGACAGAGATCCTACATGGGGAGTAAGTGCACAGTGACTCCTGTTGTTAACAATTGACACTCTTATTTATGATGTCAGTAATCACCCGAGGCTCTTGTCATGAGCTGCCAAGGCTGTGGAAGCCTCTTGAGTTCACCAACTCCAGCCTTATGTAGACAAGGCCATAACCAAAGTGGAAGTTCTCTCCTCCCTTCAGAGAAAGTTACCTCCTTCTTTGATGGTCCGTTCTTTCCACTGGGATCTCACCCACTGAAATCTTTCACTTAGGTCATTTTTGGCCACAGTGTCTTGGCTTTCCATGCCTGAGAAACTCTCATGGCCTTTTTAGCCAGATCCGAATGCCTTAAGAGCAGATTCTGAGGCCAGAGTGTAGCACAACTTTGTGAATTTTTTTTTACTAGAAAAAGTGTACAGTGTCACAGTTGAGCATGTATTGGTATGTGAGTTGTATTCCAATAGTTACCAAAAACATGAAATCATCTTTAATTTTGCTTCATAATTTCTGGCTATTATTTTTCCATGATATTACAACCAGAAATTACAACTGGACAATATTTGAAACATACAAGAAAATCTGGATCCCAAACAGCCTCCAAATATTTCTGTGTTCACATTAGTTCAGTGTATCTTATTGTACACTGTGGTATTTCCTTAAAATACTGTGTAATATTCCTGAAGGTCTGTGCACTCTTCTGCTTGATCTTACTCTGTCTCTAATACACATCCTAGCTCCTCATACTTCTTTAAGGCTAGTGGGTTCACCCTCCACTCACTGCTTTCTCTCTCTCTCTCTCCTCCAATCTCTTGGATACATCTGGAACACCTGTGTTTTATGCTGTCTCTCAACCATGAAGTTCCCATACCAGAATTTTTCCAAGTCAGAAGTCAAACCAAAATTTTGAATTCCCTTTTCTCACAATAACTACTGACTTAGAGGGGGTCACCATTTCTTGGCACTCCAAAGTATGATATATAATCCAAAGTATTCCTGACAGTTATACAAAACATGCAAAGATTATTTCCTATGCAATCTGGAAAATCCTGAGATGTCCTTTCAACTACTATTAATCAGAAAAGCATTTAGCAAGTACTTATTGGGTTCAATGCCAAGGGCCTTGGGGTTTTAAACAGAGTACCCAAATATTCTCACTCTACCTATTTGTACCAAATTAAAGTGTGTAACCTCCACACAACAGCCAAAAGCTTGGCGGTTCAGACAGATAAATACCAGTATCAAAATCCCATATCTGAGCTCTTCGGTAGCCATTAATGCATTGATTTCTCTTCTCTGTTCTAGGGTGGGGAGATGACATCACTTGGGTACAAACTTATGAAGAAGGTCTTTTTCATGCTCACAAAAGGTAAAATGCCCTTAAGTTAATTTTAATAGGTCATATAGATACAAAGTTAATTTTAATAGGTCATATAGATAGAAAGCAAGTATTGGACCAAGAGTTGCTACTAAAATTGTCTTTATGAAAGAGAACGGTAAATACCTTTGTATTAATTTCCTTACTACCCAAGCAAGATTTTTATTTAAGTTGTATAACTCAAGCAGTACCACTCATTAGGCATGCTACAAGCTTACATAGGAAGCCTGTTGGGAGCAGGTGTCCTCAGCCTCCTGATCATCAGAATGATGTGGGGCTCTGCTCTTAACATCCACACTGGCAGCTGATGGGTCAGGGACTCACCAAGCGTCCACTGCTATGTCTCAATCACCATGCCAGGCTCAGTACTCAAAACTGATTTAAGCCGGCGCTGTGGCTCAATAGGCTAATCCTCCACCTTGTGGCGCCGGCACACCGGGTTCTAGTCCCAGTTGGGGCGCCGGATTCTGTCCCAGTTGCCCCTCTTCCAGGCCAGCTCTCTGCTGTGGCCAGGGAGTGCAGTGGAGGATGGCCCAAGTGCTTGGGCCCTGCACCCCATGGGAGACCAGGATAATTACCTGGCTCCTGCCATCGGATCAGCACGGTGCGCCGGCCGCGGTGGCCATTGGAGGGTGAACCAACAGCAAAAGGAAGACCTTTCTCTCTGTCTCTCTCTTTCACTGTCCACTCTGTCTGTCAAAAATAAAAAAAATAAAAAAATAAATAAAAATTAAAAAAAATTAAAAAAACTGATTTAAAGACCCATGAAATCTTTGGGAGAATGTTATATTTTTTAAAACTCCCCAAGAATTTATTAAATATCTAACAATTCCAATACTCTTTAAGGAAGGAGAAAGATTCCAAATTAGGTGAGAATCTAGTACTCTTGAAACCAGACAAATATTACCAAAGACAGAAGTCTAAGACCATCTAGGAATGCTAGCACGATTCCAGCTTAAAAAATGCATTAATTGGGGGAGCATACTACCATGGCACAGTTGGCTAACTGGCTGTGTGCAAACACTGCATGCCCAGTTGGAACACTGGTTCAAGTCCTAGCTACTCCATGTTTCCATCCAGGTTTCTGCTAATGTGCCTAGGAAGGCAGTGGATGATGGCCCAAGTTCTTGGGTCCCTGCCACCCACATGGGATACCCAGATGGAGTTCCTGGCTCCTGGCTAGCCCTGGTTGTTGAATGCAGTTGGGGAGTAAGCCAGCAGTTGGAAGACCCTTCTTCCCTCCCTATCTCTCCCTTTCAAATATATAAATTAATCTTTCAAAAAGGAGTTATATTAATTAAAATAATTTAACATTGATAAGGAGATAAAACACGCAAGTATCTCCTATCTCTAAAATACTAAGAAGACTTTTTTTTTTTTTACAGGCAGAGTGGACAGTGAGAGAGAAAGACAGAGAAAGGTCTTCCTTTGCCGTTCGTTGGTTCATCCTCCAATGGCCGCCGCGGCCAGTGCACTGCGGCCGGCACACTGCACTGATCCGATCGCAGGAGCCAGGTGCTTCTCCTGGTCTCCCATGGGGTGCAGGGCCCAAGCACTTGGGCCATCCTCCACTGCACTCCCGGGCCATAGCAGGGAGCTGGCCTGGAAGAGGGGCAACCGGGACAGAATCCGGCGCCCTGACCGGGACTAGAACCCGGTGTGCCGGTGTCGCAAGGCGGAGGATTAGCCTATTGAGCCGCAGCACCGGCCTAATGCTAAGAAGACATTTAATAGAATGCAATATACATGCCTAAATTTTTAAAAAACAATTTGTATTTCATAATATTAATTTATTTAAATTTATTCTAACAAGGAAGCATCCATTCCAGAAAGAAAAAAAAAAGTAAACATCGTACTTACTGGGAAAACAAACATGGGTCCCATTAAAGTCTGGACAAGGCAAGGACATCAACAATCACTACAATTACAACACTACTCTGAAGGTATTAACCAGTGAAATTCCATGAAAATATTAAAATTTGGAGAGAAAGTACAAGTCTCCTTATGTGCAGATGATGGCTATATACACGAAAAACTAAAGAAAATCCACAAAAAATTTCAGAACAATAAACACTTAGTCAAGTTACATGAGAATAAACAAATATATAGAAATCAGTAACATTTATATAGAGAAAAGTATCTTCAAAAGAACCTACAGGGACTGGCACTGTGGCCAGTGGGTTAAGCCACCACTGTCAGTACGGGCAATGAGTGAGTGTTGTTCACATCCTGACGGCTCCACTTCCAATCCAGCTCCCTGCTAATGTGCCTGGGACAACAATGGAGAATGGTCCAATGCTAGGGTCCCTGCACCCACACGGAAGACCCAGGCTCCTGACTTCGGCCTGGCCTAGCCCCAGATGTTGTGGCCATCTGGGGAATGAACCAGCAGATGGATGATCTCTTTCTCTGTCTCTCCCTCCCTCTCTCTAACTCTGCCTTTCAAATAAATAAAATAAATCTTAAAAAAAAAAAACCATAAAATATTCAACTTAAACTAGCAACCAAAAAGTTAAAATACCCCAGAATGAATGACAGAAAATGTGCAAAATACATGTGATCTTAAATGTACTAACAGAAAACATTACAAACCAATGGGAAGGCATATTCTGCTTTTGGCTAGGAAGACTCAACATCATAAAAATGATCAGTTCTGTCTTCACTTAAAAAAAATTTTAAGACAATGATAATACATTGCCACAGAATGTTTTCAAAAGGCAATTCTAAGGTAGAAATGGAGAAAAAGAAATGAATAGTTAGGAACATTCTGAAAAGGCATGTATGAAGAATAAGTCTTAATCAGTATTGAATATTTTACAATGCTTTTATATATATATATATGGTATATTACTGGTAAATTAATTGAATGGAATAGAGAGTATAAACCTGATTGACCATAAATGGATTAAAATCACCAATTTAAAAACAGATGGAAAGATTGAAAAAAATGTTTGAGGACGGAAAAAGATATTCCATGTACATGAAAAGTAACAGAAGTGTTGCTATACTCATCTAAAAGAGAAATTAAGTCATAACTGTAAAACAAGACAAAGATCTTTATATAATGATAAAGGGATAAACTCATCAATAAATTATTATAAGTGTAAGTAGAAATGCACCCAAAATTGGAGCTTCTAAATTTTAAAGCAAATATTAAAAATCTTCATGGAAAATGTGTATGAGGGTATTTTAATAGGTGTGTAGGAAAATGAAATTAAAATATTAGTTTTCTTTGGTTCAAAAAAATGAACTTTGAACTGCACAATCCACAAACATTTGAAGATCCCTTAGAGTATTACAAAAAAAAAAACTATGCATGTATTTAATTTTCTTTTGCATCAAAATAAATATACAAATGTGTTGTAGCAGTTTTGAACAGGATCTAGTCATCTAGAAGTAGTTTGAGACATTAAGAAGAAAAAAACTTCTTTTTGTTTCTTCATTGTAAAAAATCTTTAGAGTTCTCCTATTTCTCTTCTTTTCAAAATCCAAGATGGCAGTTACACGGTTACATTTCCAGCATCCTTAGACATTTAGAGATGGAGTACATGCTAGCACTTGCAGTGTCTTGAACTTGGTGGAGTTTATGTAGAGATACAAAGTTTATATATATGGTTTTTCACTTTTTTTTCACTTTTTTATCTTTCAAGTCCATTTTTCCATGAACTTTTTGAAGTCATCCATTGCTAGAACTGAAGGAGAGATAGACTGCAATACAGTAATAGTAGGGGAATTCAGTACCCTCCTCTCAGCAATGGATAGATGATCCAGATAGAAAACTTGCAAGGAAACACTGAACTTGAATACACTTTAGACCAAATGGACATTGACAGACATAAACAGAATATTTCATCCAACAGTAGCAGAATACACAGCAAGCAGACATGGGGTATTCTTCAAAAGAGTTCACTCACTAGGACACAAAACAAGTCTTAACAAATTTAAGACTGAAGTCATGTTAAATATCTTTTCTGACAATGCTGATAGAAAATTAGAAATCAATAATAGGGGCCAGCGCCACGGCTCAATAGGCTAATCCTCCGCCTGCGGTGCCAGCACACTGGGTTCTAGTCCCAGTCGGGGTGCCAGATTCTGTCCCGGTTGCCCCTCTTCCAGGCCAGCTCTCTGCTGTGGCCCAGGAGTGCAGTGGAGGATGGCCCAGGTGCTTGGGCCCTGCACCCGCATGGGAGACCAGGAGAAGCACCTGGCTCCTGCCATCAGATCAGTGCGGTGCGCTGGCCACAGCGGTCATTGGAGGGTGGACCAACGGCAAAGGAAGACCTTTCTCTCTGTCTCTCTCTCTCACTGTCCACTCTGCCTGTCAAAAAAAAGAAAGAAAAAGAAATCAATAATAGGAATTTCCAAAAATTAACAAGTATGTGGAATGAAACAATATATTCTTAAAAAACCAATGGGTCAAAGAAGAAATTAAAAACTACAATTGAAAATATTTTTGGACAAATGAAAATGGAAATACAACATACCAAAGCTTAGGGAAACCAGCAAAAGCAGTTTTATGAGGGAAGATTATTGTTTGCTACTTATTTCATTTATTTGAAAGGCAGAGAGACAGAGAGATCTCACTTCCACTGGTTCACTCCCCAAATTCACACAATAGATGGAGCTGGGAACTGAGCCAGGCCAGAGTCCGGAGACAGGAATTCAATCTGGGTCTATCACACTTGGTGGCAGGAACTCAGCTACTTGAGCCATCACTGCTGCTTTCCGGGGTCTACAATAGCAGGAAGCTGCAATCAGGAGCAGAGTCGGGCTCCAGTTCAGACACTGAGATAAGGGATGTGGGTGTTTAAAGCTGTGTCTCAACTTCTGCACCAAACATCCATCCCTAAGGAAGAAGTTTATAGCAATAAATGCCTACATCAAAAAAGAGGAAATAGACATCTCACACATTGTTTGTGGGAATATAAATCAGTAGAGTCATTACAAAAAAAAGTGTATAGATCCTCAAAATGTTAATAGAGCTACCACAT